AGAATTTCGTAGCGCTATTTAAGAGAATGGTGAGAGCAGAAGAACATCAACAGAGCCTTGGTAGCACAGTGGACTAATGCACTGTTATTAATATCTGCTGCTTACAATTACTGCAAGTTCAAATCCCACCAGGCTCAAGGTTGACTCAGCCTTCCATCCTTTCTAAGGTAGGTGAAATGAGGACCCAGTTTGTGGGGGCAATAAGCTGACTTTGTATAAATATACAAAAGTATGAAGGCTATTGCTTAACGCATTGTAAGCCACCCTGAGTCTCCAGAGAAGGGCGGCATATAAATTAAAGCAAAAAAAAAAACAAAACAGCAGCCACTGAAGTTGAGAACTACCTTGGGAACCCTTCAAGAATCTGCCGCAAGCTGTAGTGAGAAGAAGTGTTCATTTGTCTCAGATTTTCCATCCCATGAATTCTGCAAAGCCTTTTTTTAGCCGAACAGGATCTTTCTTGACACAACAGACTAAATAGCAAAAACAAGGGCCAAAAATCAAATACAAAAGAGCAGACAAGGAACCATAAACCAAGTTGTGAGGAAACATTTGGCCACAAATCTCAGTGTCTTCCACTATTACCTGCCGTTTGATCTGTATAAGGTTGTCTGAGGTATCTAAATGCAGAAGCTGATGAGCTCTCCTTTACTAACCTGTAAATTGTGTCAGAAATGTTTTTTTTTTAACCAGATCAATTTTTTTCTTCAGTTTAGTTAGTTTGCCAACTATCTAGCAGCAAGTTGCATGTCCTCTGCTGGAAGCGTTTGCCAGAGCCCTTGATACTCATTTGATGCTGTAGATGCTAGGACTTGAACTCAGGACAGAGGCACAGCATGGCCTCTGTCCTGAGATATGGCCCATCTCACGGGTGAAATGCTCCCGGTTCAGACCGGATCGCCTGATCTGGTAGCGATGGCGGCGGGTGGTTCAGAGAACCGGTAGCAAAAATTCCTGCGCCCCGCTCCCAAGCCCAGCTGAGCCACACGATCATCAGAGGCTGTTTTTTTTACTTTTAAAACCATTTTTTCTACAACTTCTTCAGCTGAAAAAATGCTTTTAAAAGTAAAAAAAAAAGCCTCTGATGATCGCGCGGCTCAGCTGGGATCATCAGAGGCTTCTAAAAGCATTTTTTTCTGCAACCTCTTCAGCCGAAGAGGTAGGAGGAAAAAAAATGCCTTTAAAAGCCTCTGGCGATCCCAGCTGAGTTGCCTGATCATCAGAGGCTCCTAAAAACATTTTTTTCTGCAACCTCTTCGGCTGAAGAGGCTGTAGAAAAAAATGCTTTTGAAAGTAAAAAAAAAAAAAAGTTGGCCATGCCTACCCAGTCACATTCCCCCCCCCCCAAGCCACACACACAGAACCGATAGTAACAAATTTTAGATTTCACCCCGGCCCATCTCTATTATTATCATCAGATACATGCTGGAATATTTGGTGTGATCTCTTCATCCCAATCTGTCTGCTATGAAGGACAGATCAGTTGTGCAGCTTGAAGATATCGTCTTTTCTGTCTCTCCTGCTCTCACACGCACATATGCTGATTGCACACTCTCTTAATTGTTGAAAGCAAGACATAAACTCACATCCCAGTTTTGTTCTCCGTTCTATTGCTATGCAGACCTGCTGACCAATTTGCTGGTAAACAGTACACTGGTTTTAAATCCTTGCTTGAGTCAGTTTTAATTTTCCCCAAATGTCACTTAAGATCATGGTAATGGTTATTTCATACCAAAGGATAAAAACTATTTTCATCAAAAGTAGCCCTACTTCCCCATGATCTGTTAAAGGAGACAAAATTAGAAATTGAGGGTTTCATCAGTTATCTTTAAATAATCTCAATGTTATGTACATGGTGGAATCAAATTACACCCTGGGCTCAAAAATTGCTTTTAATTCCTTTTTTTAAATAAAGGAAAAGGAAAATTTATCCGGCTACCCAGCATAGCAAATAATTTAGCATCTAGTACTTGCAAGAATTCAGAAATATATGTATTTTCCTTATCATGCAAGTGAAACCTGAAGTTAAACCAAGTGAAATTTGGAACATGTCATATTGCTCTAATGAGCTGCTTAATCCTACACCTCTTTTCTCCTGCTATGTATTCAATGATATGTCCTAAAATGACTCTTCTTCACCGACTGAAAGATTGCGGGTCCTAATCATTCCTTTACTCTCGAGTAGCTACTGGGAGGTTTGTAAGCAACTCACATCTAAAGATAACCCACACTCTTTGCTTCCTACAGGTTTCAGCAAGGAATCTTTGGTGTACAATTTCTATTTAAACAATCAGTACTGAAAACTGCAGGGGGAATGAAATTAGGATAGTGAGGTCAAGGAAGAAAAATAACACATTCCTCAATTCACAGGACTTAAAAATCTCAGTCATGTCCTTGGATGGGAGTGATTCATCAAGAAAGAAAGAAAGAAAGAAAGAAAGAAAGAAAGAAAGAAAGAAAGGAAGGAAGGAAGGAAGGAAGGAAGGAAGGAAGGAAGGAAGGAAGGAAGGAAGGAAGGAAGGACCAACAACTATGCAATAACAGTCTGTTTTGTACTTGTATGGGAGACGCCAGGAACTCTCAGCTAAGCTAGAAAGTTGGAAAGAACATTCTGGAAGAAAGGAAGAGTAAACCACTCCTATATTGTAGCAAGAAAACAATCTGGATCATGCCCTCACCAGAATTAAGCCCAGTTTAAGAGCAATTTACTACTACAACTAAGTCTCAAATATATTTACCATCTCTTAATTGCAATTTCCTTTGCTGCTGCTGCTTTTTTGCAACCAGTTAACAGATGCAATTCAATAACTTTTCCAACCTATTATGAAGATCTCTTTGTTCCTTTACTAATTTTATACTTTTAAGGTAAGGAACGTGGGATGGCACCACCTGTTAATTTCTCCCCAAATCTAGTTGGATGCCAACAATTAATTATTACATGTTACAACATTCCAACATGGATTGATAGGAATTAAAATGCAATCCATGTCTAATGATGGCACACTTAAGTTTTTAAATACGTGCAAGTACTGGACACCACAATGAGCTGCATTTGTGTAATCCATCAACCATACTCATCGCAAAGTATTTATCCATACCTGCAAGCACAAGATCATTTATATAGCAGCCTAGATCTTGCTGGCCTTTGCAAATCACACATTGCTGGGTTCCTTCTCTCCTTGCATAAGTTATCTCCTCTTTATCTCCATTGCTGCTTTTTTAAAAAAACAACAACACTCAGTTCGATGTTTTCTTTATAGGGAAATTCAACAGGGAATATTTTTTAAAAGGGTATTGTAAACAGAAAGGCTATAAAAGGAGCAGGACAACAAAACAAAGCAACCATATCATTTAGAAAACATGGCTGTCAATTTATTTATTTTTTTAAAGAAAACGTGTATTACTGTAGACACTCAATCTTACATTATATTCTGCTTACCCAGTGTGAATATATGTGAAAAATTATTTCAGAATGTGCCCATCAGCTGTCCTACAAATTCCATCAAAGCTGATGGATCCAAAGAGCACTAGGTTATAGTCACCGTTCTTCTCCATTCTTGTTTATCAGACCACGTCTAGAATATTGCATCAAATTCTGGATTCTTGTTTATCAGACCACATCTAGAATATTGCGTCCAGTTCTGGATTCTTGTTTATCAGACCACATCTAGAATACTGCACCCAGTTCTGGATTCTTGTTTATCAGACCACATCTGGAATACTGCATCCAGTTCTAGACACGGCATTTTAAGAAGGACACCAAAAACTGGAATGCATCAATCTTCTCAAGAGAAGACCAGCCAAGATAAGAAAAGAGTTTAGAAAGAAAAATGGAGGACAAATGGAAATACAAATGGGAATATTTACTCTGAAAAAGATGAGGAAGACAACTGATGTCTGCCTTCTAGTATAAGAAGTGTCATCATGCAGAGGTTAGGATTACCAACAATTTCTGTTCTGTTCAACAATCGAAAAGACGTTTTGTGGGGTGATAGTCACCCTTTCACTGAGCTGTTTAAATAAAAGCCAGATAGCAACCTGTTTGAGATGTGGATTCCTGCATTGGGCACCTAGATAATCTCCAAGTTTACTTCTAAATCCTACCATACATCCTAAATTTCTAATGAGGATGTGATATCCGTCAAAGATCCATGTACTTTTTCAAGGACCTGAAGGTGAATTTTCAGGAAAGAAGGGATCTTTTCCATTCCTGCTGTTTATGTCAATCTTACAAATCTCGCATGTTACAATTCTGGTGATCGACTATAGGAATTTTAGAACTAAATGCATGCTCTTCCACTATATTGTGCTACTCAAAAGAACACCAAATTCTGCACCTTCGGATCAAAATGAAGTCCTTTTAACAGGTCCAGTCCTTAAACTGGACCTGTTTGAAAGCAAATCTCACTCAAATGCATTTATCTCCAAGTATGTGTATCTGGGGTTTAGATACTACCATTCACGCATTAAGCATTTCATATCATCAGGATTGAGTTTTGTACTTTTCTGGCAATTTGTGCTCCAACCTTTCCTTCATTACCATTTTAGGCCCTCTAATCTTTCTATTCATCCTTGGATGTGTACGTCATCTTTTTTTTTTTTAATGAGTCCTGTCTTTGTTGTTGTTTTAATTCTGACAAAGTGAACTCTAATCCACAAAATACATGCTACAATAAATCTTTAAGTTTTTAAGCTGCTGCAAGAACCCTCTTTCTTTCACCCTATTTTCATTAAGGATAATTTCAAGAAGTCTCAAAACTGCCAAGAAAAGGGAGTAGAGAGACACATGGGTTTTTCACATCATGTTCCTGTTTCAGTCCTATAATTGAAACAGGAGATATATGTAAAGTCAGTCTTCTGGTCCTCATCGATTTGAAAACAGAAAGACACCCCCGCCCCTCAAATAAAAAGAACCTTTCCAAAAATCTCCAACCATCCAATGAAATATACCTACCATATTATGGCAAAAGAGAAAATCAAGAAGAAGAAGAATTTCCTACCTGTAATCTTGTTCCCAAAAGTTTCATTTTTCTTTCCTCCTGCACACTTTTTTTCTGATTTTATTATTTTTTTTTGGCAAACGGTGAGTCTGGAGGACTTGGAAACCAAGACTGCCGAGTAAGGAAAGCAGACTGCCCAGGCGTCAGAATCCAGGAGTAAGGTCCGTATCTTGATCTTCCATATCTTTCCAAAAGAAGAGGAGGGAGGGGGCGGGGAAAGGAAGGAGAAATGGGATAAAAAAAGGGCACATTAGTTCACGGTGGAGATGAAGATGGGAAGAGCAAATCCCAAGCTACTATCTTGTGTATCTGGGACCAGAGCTACTATCTTGTGTATCTGTGACCAGAGTAAATTTCTGAAGCAATTGGATACATCGCTAAAACCTAATGCTCAGCCTGATTCCCTTGAGTAGGAGAGAAAAAAATAAATAAAGGGGGGACCCTAATCCTCACCAACCAACACCTTTCTCAGAAATTTGCATCCCTGCTCTACCCGGGACTAATCCTCTCGCTGGAGCCTTAAAGCAAGAACCCGTTTCGCCCGCGGAACTGGCGGCGCGTCCTTCGCTGATTCGCTTCGAAGCCTTTCGCCTCGACTCGCCCGGTTTGCAAACCTCGGACAGAGCCCGACCTACCGGTTCGCCTAAAGGGGCACCTAAACCCGGGGCAAAAAGCCCGTGGCCAAGAGGACCACTGTGCCCTTGCTGGGTGTTTTTTCCTCCCCTGGCATCTCTCTCTCTCGCGCCCTCGCATTTTTTCCCCCTCCTTTCCATACCGTTCTTGCTCCGAATTAAGAGCCCGATCTTCGAAGAGCTTAACCTCCCCATTCCAAAGAGATCTGGCCAGGGAAGGCTTAGATTAGAACATTTCAAGCAAACCAGCCCCAACCAACAAGAGGCGTCTTAGGTGGCAGCAGCATCATTAAACCAAGAGCTAAATAAACGCTGCGCGCCCTTCCCCAAAGTTCCCCACCAAAAGAAGCCGCGTTGCCAACCACCTTCGTGGGAGAGAGCGAGCGCCCAGGAGGTGAGTGGATCGAGTGGATCGAGCGGATCTCCTTCTTTGCATGGGAGTTTGATTTGCTGGGCAGCGCGGCGGCGGTGGCAACTCTACTGGCTGGCTCTGCTCCGCCACCGTTTCCCCCGCGCGCCCGCCGCGGCGTTCGCAGAGCCTTGCAGAAAAGGGGTGGAGAAGGCGCACAGGGGAGCGCGGGCGAGCTTTGGCATTTTCTTTCCCTCGGACCGGATTAGCCGTTTCTCCTCCAATGGCAACGTCCGGAGCTGCTGATTGGAAGCCATCCCCGTTAAAAAAAACAAAACAAAAAAAATCTGCTCTCTTAAGAGTCTCAGCCACAAATCCCAGGGAGGTTTTTTTGGGGGGAGCGGGAGTCAAAACAGGCAGGGCTGCAATGTTGGACCCATTGACCTGGGACTACTTGAATGCAATGTGGGCAGAATTTACTTTTGGAAAAAAATAATAAAATCAAACCCATCTGCAAGTCTGGCTGTGCCATTTATATTGCTTGAATGACAATGCCCAGGAAGTTATAGTCAGTGTATATTCAGTAAAAGCAGCAACTGGCTGTGGTGCGCAATTTTCAGAACCCTCATTTTTTTAGAAAAAGAAAAAACACTTTGCAAAGCACTTCATTGCCAATAATTCCAACCTGATTTGTCAATGTCTCCAACAGAGCTATCATTCCCAGCCAACAAACACTGTAAATAACAGAAGACTTCTGAATGCAGACACGGTCTAAAAGTGTGGAGACTTCTGTAGGAAGAAATATCCTCCTGGGTTCAGCTCCAAGTGGGGAAAAAGACACTGGAAACATGGAGACTGCTTGGAAAGATGGTTTAATGGTGGACAGGATCACATGGCTTGAGTTCCTGAACAGAAAAAGGGGCCGAGACGCAGTGAGTCCCTGGGTTTTATGTCCTCTCTGGCTTTGAACTTCCTGGGGCCCAGAAAGAGTATCCTGATTGGTTGTCAGACTCCCCGGGGGTGGGGGTCTTAGCTAGCCTTGCTGGCTGATGTAATCTTCCCAGGTGCCATGTGGTGAGTTTCTGTTGCTAGATGGGTCCTATTGTGTTAGTTTCTGTTGCTAGATGGGTCCTATTGTGTTGCAGATGATGGTCCATTGACAAAGCTTGAGTTTCTGCCTCTGGCCCATTGACAAAGGGTGGGGGCAGGAAGATGGGAGCTGCTTCGTCTTTAAAACATGCTTCTCCTCCATCCAGGGAAACATAATCTGCCTTTTTAATATTTCCCAAAATATTTCATTCCTCTAGGAAAGGGGTGGGTGCTAACTTCCTACACTTCAATGCCCCAAAAATTCCATCTGGATATCTAACATGACTGGAAAGACTAGATAACTAGATCACAAGCAACTAACAAGAGGTCATTTAAAACTGGAGGGAAATAATTGGGATGGTAAGATTTATACAGTAACAGCATAGTCTACCTAAGATGGTTGTGGGCTCTCTCTCTCTCTCTCTCTCTCACGCCAGGTTTTTCAGAAAAGGCTAGGCAGCCACCATGCATGGATGGTTTAATTGCAGAGGGTTGGATGAGAAGTTCCTTCTAATGGCTTCCAACTCTAAAATTCTATGATTCTGTGGCTCGTGTACAGCTGATACCCAGCACTGGAAAATTCCATACTGAAAACTGAATACCTGAAGGATTGACTGTTGCATCTAATTTTCAGAGCAGCTTTGCATTTAGACTCGTTTGGTTTTATGAAACATGCTTAAAAATTAATAATTAGCAATTAACTGCATCTCTCTGAGGTCTAAACAAAAGTTGCCTAAAATTGGTTGCAAATTTACAAACGTCTCCGGTGGGATTAAACACGATGCAAAGACCTGCTTTATTTAAGAGTGAACATATCTGTGGCTGTATCTGTGAAATCAGTATGGGGTAGTGGTTAACGCATTAGATTAGAAACCAAGAGACCATGAGTTCTAGTCCCACTTTAGGCATAAAAACAGCTGGATGACCTTGGCTTGGATGACTTTCTCTAAGCCTAGGAAAGAGACAATGGCAAAAAATGGAAAAACCTTGCCAAGAAAATTGCAGAGAAATGTCTAGGCAGTTTCCAAGAATTGGGCACAATTGAACAATTGAAAAAAAAAATGTGAATAAATCACAATTAGCCAATTTCAAATGGTATACTACATCATTAATATAAGTTTATAATCCATGATTGATTGATTGATTGATTGATTGATTCATTCATTCATTCATTCATTCATTCATTCATTCATTCAACTTACATGCTGCCCATCTTGCCTGGAGACAACACTAGATGACTTACAATCAATAATGGCTGGATTCAAATAGCACACTCTACCAAATCATTCTACTAATTGCCAATCACCTATAAATTGAATGTAGTGAATATAATGCTACCAAGGCTTCCTTCTTTCCTTCCTTCTCCATAAACCTTTTTCCCAAAGATCACCTACTACTTTTCACCAGTAGACATCTTGACCCATTTTCAAGTTAGGAAAAACATGATACTTTCTAAAGTGATTTTGCTCTGAGCTTCTGTGAAAACCCCTTCCCTTTTCCAGACAAAAGAGCAATAAAAATCTAAATGAAGAGTGATTTGTCTGCTGGAATATTTGACTCAGATGACCAAGTGCAAAAATCACTTTCAGTAATTGTAGAGAAATGAAAACTTGAAGGCTATTTTGTTACGGGATGCCCTTCCACGTGACAGTGAAAGATCTCATCTTCTATTTTTGCTTTGAGAACTTGCCAAGATGCTCACCTTTGACATGGACCGAGAAGTCAGATGATCTGATCTGATTCAATTTGATCCAGCAAAGCTCCATGAACAAGTAGTTGATTCTTTTAGCCATAGCAAGCCAAATGCTACCCCCCCAATCCATTGCCAAGGGTTGTGTTTTATTTCAAACAATTTATTACGCTGAAATATTCACAAAGCTTTGGCACCCTGACAAACAGACGGGAGCAATGAGATCCATTCTGGTGAATAACGGTTCATTCTTCTTGGGTGTAAACCATTCCTTTTTAATTAATAGTCATTACAGGGAAAGGAGCATTGCTTGACTTGAGGGAATGTGTTAGTGCTTCATCAGAGCATGAGCTAGATAAATAAACATAAAACATTTGTGGATAGTTTTTTTTAAATGGTATGTTTGAAATACAACTAGTTTCCAAAAGTTTATTTTATGGAGTTAACATTGTTGAAAGTTTTTTTTTTTTTTGGGGGGGGGGGGGGGCCGAGCAGCACTTAATTGCTGAAAATTAACAGCACCATTTCCTACTATTTTGCAGAGACAAACACATGAAAACTGTAGTAAAAGCCTTAAAAGAAACATATTTGACTTTAAAACTTCTCAAAGGAGGAGGGAAAACCCAAACTCCCAGTTCTAGGAGGGAGTTTAGGGACCTGGCTCCATTATCATTACAGGTTGGCTCCCCTAAAGGTGGTCCAGTTGGTATCTTCCATCCCCAGGAGTAGGGGATGGCTTATATTCAGGTACTTATTAAGAAAAAAAAAACTGGTTTGCACAATCAAGATTCCAGTGGACAAGACGACATAGACATTCATCTGATATTCCTTGAAGGAACATAATGAATGGGTGCTTCATGATAGTTGAGGTGACTCAAACTGTTCTGCAAACTCAGTTAGTATGGGTTGGTTTATGATCCAATGGCAGCATTATGTTTTACTTGATTACTAAATTAATTAACTTTCTGTGTTCAGAAGTTAACCAAACTAAACTAACCATGCTGAGAATGTGGTATAAATGCATCTGCTAACTCTAAAGCCCACTTCTGACATAATCCTTTTAGGGGATGCGGTGGCTCGGTGGCTAAGATGCTGAGTTTGTCTATCGAAAGATCGGCAGTTCAGCGGTTCAAATCCCTAGTGCCGCGTAACGAGATGAGCTCCCATTACTTGTCCCAGCTTCTGCCAACCTAGCAGTTCGAAAGCACGTAAAAAATGCAAGAAGAAAAATAGGGACCCTCTTTGGTGGGAAGGTAACAGCGTTCCGTGCACCTTTGGTGTTTAGTCATGCCGGCCACATGACCACGGAGACATCTTCGGACAGCGCTGGCTCTTCGGCTTTGAAATGGAGATGAGCACCGCCCCCTAGAGTTAGGAACAACTAGCACATATGTGCGAGGGGAACCTTTACTTTTTACCTAACTCTTCATATGACATCCATAAGCATATTATGTGAACTAGAAGGAAAGAGTTAATTAAGTAAACCATGATTCACTTACTTGGTTATACGGCTATAACCACACCATAGTAAACCATGTTTTCTTTTAATTATACTAAGCTACAATGCAGTTCAAATCCAAAAATCACATTATGGCATGGACCATTGAGATACCTGGATCAGTATTGTCTACAGCATATACGGCTCTTAAAAGTCCTCCAAGGCATGGCTGATATCCCAGCATTCTTGGTTCAACCATTTCTGGACAACCAGAGATTGCCCAACGACAAACAGAAAAGCAACCAATATTTACCATTATGATTAAAATAATAAATTATGCTATGAAAACCAAGATAACTTAGCGATAATAAATGAAGATGTTTCAGATTTTTTTGCAAACATAGCATCTATTTCCGAATATTTCACATCTTTTCCTGGGATTATGTGCAAAAGGAAGCTATGGGGCTGCAAAAAAAGATGCAGCTGCTTTAAAGAGTCATGGACAGATGTTGCATCCACGTTCTTGCTTGCTCCAATACATTTTTTGGAAATCAAATAGAGTTCAATTCTGATACCTAAAAGCACTTTCTTGGGAATCAGCATTGTTCAGTTCTGTGCACAAATGTGCATTTTCACAGAATTCAGGTAGCTTCTAGTAAAACCGACAAACCAGCCAGAAATAACAAAACAAAGGAACAATGACTCCAAAAAGCCAATTTTTCAAAGCTGAACTGCCCAAACCTATTCCACATTTAATGAAATAGTTTTCCAGAATTCCAGCCATGAGTCTTCTCCAGCTCTAAATAGATTTTTGAAAAAACATTCTTTAATTGATATATTTATGAATCATACCCTCTGCTAACCAGGCAACTAGGAATAATTTTACATAGAATTACAATACGTGCAAAATAAAACTCATGTATCAACACCAACAAACAAAGGACTAAAAACAAGGAATGACAACGGGGTAGCCTGACTA